GCCTTCCCCCAGCACCTGCCGTGCCCTGTGCCACCTTCACCACCTTCACCATAGGGATGTCCTGCCCCCTGCAAGGAGGGGAGCTGATCCCTCCACCCAGCCCATCCTCAGGGGGTCCCCTGGGACACGTCTGGCCGCGCCCCCCGCCCACCCTGCGAGTCCCCCGCTGCTGGCACGTCTCCCTGCTATTCTTAGCTCTCCAGCGCTGCGCCCTCCCGGCAGTGGCACCGTATATTACTATTATCGCTGGCTGCCAACGTCTTGGAGCAGCAGCCAGGCCCGTGATGGGGCTTCCACACCCCTGGTGACCTGTGATTCGGTCCCTGCCGGTCTCTGGTCTTCAACAGGCTATTTCAGGAAATCCAATTTGATGGGCAGAAGGAGCACAAGCCACACGTTCAGCCCCTGCGCCGGATCCAGGCTCCTCACGTCACCACTCAGATCCAGATTTTAGCTTCACCCGTGATGGCAGTAAGGGCCAAGAGTCACCTTTGGCTCCAGATCCAAATTTCTGGCTGGGTGGGATCCAGGATTTTGGATCAGCTTGCTGGAGAGATGCGAGCGGCTGCAAAACCTGGATCTGGAGCCCCAACCCCCACAGCAGCAGCACCACCTGGGCACGAGGCCTGATCCTGCCCCCGTGAGTGGGCAGAGCTGGGGAGACGCACAGCAGCACAGCCACCAGCCGCCTGCACGGGCTCTGTGTCCCGCAGGGCCTGGCGTGGCTCTGCCTTTGAGCTAGTGATGGGGAGGCCGAGGGAAGGGCCCCCACCAGGGACCCCCAGCCTGGGCTGCCCGACACTCTCTGTTCCTCTCATGCCTCGCCCAGGCTCCTGGGAAAGCTCAGCACCAACTCACTCGCCCAGGCTGGATGGGGACACCACAGTTGTGTCACCCTGTTCCCTGCAGCAGGAATGCCCAGAGCCGGTCCTGGTGCCCAGGCTCGGTGGCACAACAGTGCCCAAGGCAGCCCCAAACATGGCGCATGCCTGTGTTCCCTCTCTCCACTGCTCTCACCACCCCCACGGCCAAGAGGGGTCCCTCTGGCTCAGATGCTCCACGGTCACTTTGATGGCTATTTTGCATTCCCAGCCCTGCTGGCGCTGGAATAAGGCTTTGAAAGGGCTGACATGCTCCTTCCAGACGTGCTCATCTCCTCGTGGCCTTCCCCCTGCTCCATCGGTCCTGGAGGGCCCGGAGCCGTGGATGCACACGTGGGGACAGAGGGAGCACGGGGGTGAGGAACTGAGATAGACAAAGACCGACATCCATTTCCTGGAGCAGAATCTGCGCTGCTGGCTGGATCCTGCCCCGACTTACACCGAGGGAGGCCACCTGCTCCAACGGGGACAGCCAGCACACACCAGCCCAGCTCTGTCCCCTCCTGCCTGGGGACCCACCGTGGGCAGCACAGCCCTGCACCCCCCGAGGGAGGTGACACGCGGGGCTGGATGTCACGGGATAGAGAGAGACCAGCGGTCCCAGCGCCAACTTGCTCTGCAGGTTTGGCACAGGATGGAGGGACCAGACCGGCTCCTCCAACAAAACCCAACCGTCCGGGGGAAGGAAGGCGCCGGGAGGAGGGAGATCCCAGAGCCTGGCCCCGGAGCTCTCCCTGCCCGCCAGGCTGGGTTGGACCATGGCGCCTGGATGCGCGGTGATGGCACCGCTCGGCTCGTGCCCCGCGCCAGCTCCCACCACCCGGCCGGGCACGGCCCTGGCATCCAGCACCGCCCCCCGGCAGGATGGGGAGGGGGAGCCCACCGGGCTGGGGAGGGGTCCTGGGCTGCCCCGAGCCCCCTGCTGTGGGAGAGCGCAGGATGGCTGCCGTCGCCTTTCAGGGAGAAGCTGGAGGGGCTGCGGGCTGTGGCCCCTTCCCCGAAGCCTCGGGCAGCAGGAGGTGGGGATGCCCGCACCCCTTCTCCCGCACCCACCGGGGGATCCTGGCCGAGCTCAGCAAAACCTTCCCGGCCATCCCACGTTTCCCCCCCGGCTCCATCCCGAGCCATCCCCCGGTTCTCCCGGGAAACCCTCTCTGCGGGGCTAGATGGGTCCGCAGGCGACACGTCCCGTCCCCGCGGGGCCGGTCCCGCCCTGCCCCGGAGCCCCGCAGCGCAGAGCCCCTCGCCCGCGCCGGGCACCGCAGCCCCCCGGGACCGGGGCGGCCCCGCCGCTCTTACCCCGCTCCCGCCGCCTACATCCTCCGGCGGCTCCCGGGCGGCTCCCCGACGGCCCGGCGCGGCCGCCCCCGGCCCGGCTGGTCCCGGCCCGGCTCGGTTGGGCTCGGCTGGTCCCGGCTCGGCCCGGGCCGGCGCCCCGCGGGCGGCAGCATGCGAGTGGCGGCGGCCCCGCAGTGCAGCGCGGGCGGGCGCGGAGCGGCGGGAGCGGAGCGGGGCGGCCGCGGCAGCGCCAAGACACGGCGGTGGATTTTCCCCGGGAGCCAGAGCGGGCGGCGGCGGCGCAAAATGGCTCCGGTGCGGCTCTGCCGCCGCCTCCCGGCGCCCCCGGGACCCCCGGGGGGAGGGAGCGGGGGGAGCCGCCCGTGGGGCCGGGGAGCTGCCGCCGGAGGGGCGTGCGGGGTGGGCTCTGCCCCGCGGAGCCGGGCTGGCACCGGGACAGGAGGGACCCACCAGTGGGCATCCCCTGGAGCACCCCACGGCACTGAGACAGGGGGGACCCACTCGTGGGCATCACCTGGGGCATCCCGGGACGGCAGGGGACTGTCACCCATCCCTGCCCATGGCCACAAAACCTGCCTGGAAGGGGATGGGGTGCTGGGACAGCCCTGGGGTGTCGGGATATCCCTGGGGTGCTGTGGTAGCCTCAGGGTGTCAGGACAGCCCCAGGGTGCCAGGATAGCCCTGAGGGCCAAGATAGCCCTGGGGTAGCAGGACAACCTCGGGGTGCCAGCACAGCCCCAGGGAGCTGGGCCAGCCCTGGGCAGAGTGCAGCCCTGGGGCCCAGCCTTCCCCCAGCAGATCGGGGGCTGCCTGCCCGCTGAGCCCCTGGCACCACACCCTGTAATTTGATAATAATCATAATAATAATAATTACGGCGTGCGTGGGCTGGCAGTGCAGGAACAATAACCTGGGTAACGCCTTGCTGCGTGGTGGCAGGAGCAGCGCTGTGGCACATGCCCTGCCCTGCTGCCGTGCTGGCCCTGGAACCCCCTGGCACCCTGTGTGGGAGCCCCTGCCCAGCATGTGGGGTGACAAGGCCCAAGCACGTGTCCTGCACGGGTTTTTAGGCAGTCGTGTCCATGTCCCAGCGCTGTGGTCCTTGGCCAGGCTGGCCACGTCCCCAGGCCCTGAACAGGACACCCTGCCAGAACCAGAGCTTGGGCAGCCCCCATTCCTGGTATGCAAAGAGCTCCCCAAAAGTCCTGCTGCCCCTCCAGTCGCAGACCCCCCAGGCCCTGCAGCACCCTGCACTGCTGACATGGCTGCTCCTGCTGCACACGGGGAGCAGAGCTCTGCCCCCTCCCTCAGCAGTTATGTAAAAGGATTAAAATTTAATATGAACTTCAAAAGGGGAAGAACAGGGTGGTCGAAGGCATCTGGCCCGGGGCCGGGTGCAGAGCAGAGGCACCCTGGGACGTGTCCCAGCTCTGCTGAGAAGCAGCACTGCAGCACATGGAGACCTGCTCCATCCACCCTGCCCATGGGGCCAGAGAGAAGTGCCCGGGCTCCATGGGCACCACAGACACCCCGTGAGCCCACCCAGGTTAACTGGGCTGTGCTCTGCCTGGGTCATGATGATGCAGGATTCTCATGGGGCTCTGGCCTTGCCCCACACCTTCACCTCTCATTGACCCTTAATAACCCACCACCCAAAGGCACAGCGTCACCCACCCGTCCCACTGCCCACTGCCACACTGCCTGTCCCATGCCAGCAGTGCCCAGTGCAGCTCATCTCCTCCTGCCTGGTGCCTCACACTTTCTTCCTTCCATGCACCAGTGGGTAGGAGCGTGCTGGAGAGGAGCCCTGTGCAGGGGGAGTGAGACCCCCAGTTCGGGGGCAGATGATGCACCCTGGCCCCCCTCCATGCCCAGAGCCCGCGTGGCTGCCCAGCACCCGCGCTCCCGTCAGTGCAGCAGCGGGAGAGGGGCTGTGCTGGCAGCAGAACCAGCCAGGGCTGGGAAAACACCATCTCCCGCCCCCGCAGCCGCCCACGGCCCCGCAGCCGCTCGGCCGCCCCCGCAGCGCCGGGCCTCGCACGGAGGGGGCGGCAGGCGCGGGGCTGGGGCTGCGCTGCGCCCACCAGGGCCGCCCACCCGCGGGCAGGGCAGGGGATGGGGCAAGGGGAGCGGGGCTCAGCAGCCCTCAGTGCAAGAGCCTCCCTGGTGCAGGGTCCTGCCGCAGGAGCGGAGCTGGGATGGGGTCCGGGAGGGGGGGCTGGGGGCTGCCCCGCACCCAGCCCTCCCAGGCTGCAGGAGCTGCTCGGTGCACGGCACAGGCACCCGCCAGCAGAGAGACTGGGGAAGCCTTTGGCTCATTCATTTTTAATCCTGGCAGAGAACAGGAGGGACACGGGAGCGAGGCTTGGGAACGCTGCAGGATGGGCCCGGTTGCAGGACCCCAAACAGCCCTGCCCAGGAAGCCCCCAGGCAGCCCAGCTCACGCCACGGGGGTCTTTGGTCATGCTTGTCCCTGTGGGATGGAGATCCCCAGGAAAGGACAGCAACTCCGGGCATCCCACCTGGTCCTGTCTCCCCACGTGCTGCCACGGCACAGCCCCCCTCGCTGGGCGAGCCCCCCTCGCAGTGCCAGTGCCGCCCTCCCAGTGCCTGCGGTGCAGGGGCAGGATCTGTGCGTGAGCAGAAACTGTGGGCACGTGGAGATGTGCAGAGAACAGAGCGGGGTGGGAGGAGGAAGAGGGTGCAGTGAAGTCAGAGCTCCCCCCACGCTGCTCCCCATCCCTGGCCTGGTTCCAGGGATCCCATCCCACCGGGACTGTGGCACCAGCACAGCCAGGGGCAGGACCCCACTGCCCACCCCACTACGAGGAGGTGAAGGAGGACCCGCGGGTGCCAGGCACAGGCCCGGGGGGGCCCGGCGGGGGCAGCGGGAGGCACCGGCCGATCTTGCGCAGGGTCCGGCCCAGGTCGGCGCGGAAGCGCCGGATGGAGAAGCAGTAGACGAGGGGGTCCAGGCAGCTGTTGAGGCTGAGCAGGGCCACGCTCAGCGCGTGCAGCACGTCCAGGGTGTCGGGAGGCCCGCAGGGCGGCGCGGGGGGCCGGCTGCCCACCCAGGGGGCCAGCGTCAGGTGGTAGGGGGCCACGCAGACCACGAAGACCAGCAGCATCCCCAGCACCATGGCACGCGCCTGCTGCCGGTGGGAGCCCGGCGAGGCGGCGGCGGCGGGTGCCGAGAGCGCCCGGGCGATGGAGGTGTAGGTGCCCAGCACCACCAGGAAGGCGGCGGCGAAGAAGCCCACCATGGCGTAGGCGTAGGCGCGGTGCCGCCCGTGCTGCTCGAAGCAGGCGGTGGCCCCGGCGCGGGCAGGGAAGGTCTGGCGGGCAGCCAGGGTGGGCACGGCGCAGCCCAGCCCCAGCAGCCAGGCCAGGGCGCAGGCCAGCGCGGCACCGCGGGGCCCCGTGAGCAGCAGCGCCCGCCGCGCCGCCCGCACCGCGCAGAACCGGTTGAAGCTGATGAGAGCCATGAAGGTGACGGCGCTGTAGGTCGCCAGGTAATAGGCGGCCCCCGCCAGGCGACAGGCGGCCTCCGACAGCAGCCAGTCCCCCCCGGACAGGTAGTAGTGGATCCAGAGGGGCAGCGTGAGGTTGAAGAGGATGTCGGCCAGCGTGAGGTTGATGAGGTAGATGCGGATGGCCTTCCTCACCTTGCCGCTCTGCAGGAAGACCAGCAAGGCCACCAGGTTGCCTGGCAGCCCCACGCACAGCACCAGGCAGTAGACAACGGGCACCAGCACGAACTGCACTGGGTCATTGGGCAGGCACTCGCCGGCGTGTCCCGTCGGCAGCGGCCCCGGCGCCGAGCTGTTCATCTCGGGCTCCTGCAAAGACAGGGCACAGTCAGTGGCACAGCTCTGGGGAACAGGGAAGGGGTGTTGACCTGCACAGGACACCTCTCTGGCTGGCACCTGCAGTACTGCTGGGTGCCAGAGGCAGAGCCCCCAGGGGGATGCCACTGTGAGCTGGATGGGCTCAGACCTCATAGGAGATGAAGAAAACCCAGCTACACCCCCCAGTGCCACGAGGAAGCCCAGAGGTCACCACCAGCTGCCCAGCCAGGGCTCCCCAGGGAGCGGCAGGAGCAGCTGCACCAGGGCCGAGGGACAGAGCTGCGGCCAGAGGCACCCGGGGGTGCTGTGCTGGCTCCAGCCGGCAGCTGCGGGGCTTAACACCTCCCACACAGCATGTGCCTGTAGGGCCACCCACCCCAGCCCTCTCCCAGTGCCCCAAATCCCCCAGGAAGTCACCCACTGGCTCAGGGTGCACCAGAGTGGAGAGACCCAGGCATGGACAGGAGGTAGGAGCATGGGGCCCGCAGCCCCCCGTGCCCCCCAGCCCTGCACGGGGAGGTTTGCCCCGGGTTCCAGCCGTGGGAAACCACGTTGTGCCGCAGTGGCTGTATCCAGGGCTGCAGCTATTTCACCTCCCATCACTGCCTGCCCACACCTCGCCGACAGCACTGAGTCACCAGGCGGTGTTTTCCAGCATGGCAGGGCCGGATTCGGCACACGCAGCACCAGCACCAGCACCGGGCGGAGGCACGGCATGAACTGCCGAGCCTGGGGGGGGAATCAGGGCTTCAGTTGGACCCCCCAATGGTCCCTGGATCCCTCAATTGTCCTCTTTCCTTCTCCTTCCCCCACCCTTAGCACTGGGGTGTTCCATGTCACCCACCCCACGATGGTTACTCACCCCACCAGGTCGGGCTGCACAGGCTGTGTCCCCTCCGGCTGCTCCTCACTGTCTGACCCAGCCAGGCTGGGGAAGTCTTTAAGCGCTGGGGGAGGCAGGGGCTGCCTGACCTCCCCCCACCATTCCAAGCCCCCCCGTGGGACAGCAGCTGGAGTGGGAGAGCACCTGTGTGTGTATGTAATGGGGGATTCCCTGCTGGAGCCACGCTAAGACCCCCCGCGCCGGCTGCCGGGGCTGGGGGCATGTGGGGGTGGCCAGGACTGCTGACCCCCTGTGTGCCCCCAGCCACATCTAATACCATTTCCCAGGGCCCTGCTCCCACCCACGCCTGGATGAAAGCAGCAGAGGGTCAAGTTTCTGCACCCGGCAGCTGGGGGAGAAGGGGATGCCCCGAAGGGATCAAAGCAGGAATCTGCTTCCTCCCAGCTCTTGGTGCTTTTGTTGGCTTCAAAGCTGGATTTAGGGGGAGCAGCACCCCAGGCTCCCCAAGCTCTGTGAGCACCCAATTCGCTGCTTTGCTTGGCCCTGCAGTCTGTGGGTGTTCCTTTGGGTTCAGATGTGATCTTGGGGGTTCATGCCCATCTGGGATGGCAGAGAGTCAGCTTGTAGGAGCAAGATCCCCAAACACATGTGACTGCCCAGGCACACTGTCTGGGGGTTGTGGTGCTGCTGTCACACCCTGGATGTGCAGCACGTGGCCTGGCACATTGCTGGGTGGCTCTGGGTGGCTGGGGGATCCCACCCCCACACGGGCTCTCCCACTGTCTGTCTCCACACCAGCTGCCAGCAGCTCCCACACATCCACAGGCCTGCTCCTGGGAGACCAGGGCCTCCAGCCCTGGGAGGTCCCATCAGTCACCACAGCTCAGCCTGGGGGGAGGCAGAAGTAAACAGGAAGGCAAAACATGAAAAACAAGAGAGTTTATTCCAAAATACTAAAGCCCCCAGGAGAGCAGAGCCAGCCCCTGCTCGGCGTGGCCAAACGCCGGGAAGAGCCGGACACCTTGTGCAAGTTTAGCAACGGAGCTGCCGGAGCGGTGGCGGTGCCACGGCAGTGTCACAGTGGTGCCACGGCCACCAGCCCACAGCACCAGCCCACAGCGTGGGGACAACCAGCACCAGGGTCCCTGGCAGAGGCAGGAGAGGGCACACTGGGCCTCAGCAGCAAGTTACCGTGCAGGATGCGATGCCGTCCCTGAAAATACCACACAGGCATCGCTTCCCGCCAGTCAGAGCCGTCTGTCCTTCCCGCCTCCGGTCACTCGAACTTGGGCCGGGGGGCCACTGGGTACCCACGGATGTTGAGCAGCAGGAGGAGGCCGAGGCAGAGGGTGGCTGGGGCACACATGGCCAGCGGCTCCCGCAGCGCCAGCAGCGTGTAGATGGCACCTGGGTGAGGAGCAGAGCGTGGGAATGGGGGTCCCTGGCCGAGGATCCCCCGAGACCCCGTGCAGGGTGGCGAATGCCCGCTGGCTCTCACCGATCATGACGACACTGAGGACGAAGTTGCTGATCTCCTGCAGCAGTTGGGGCCCAAATGCCAGCAGCAGCCCGGCCGTCACCTCCACCCAGCCCACGGCCGCCAGGTACCCGCCCGGCTCCGGCACGAACCCCAGCTCCTTCAGCGGAAACACCTTGGCAAAGCGCACGAACTCCGACGCCTGGGAAGGGTGGGAGGGGAGCGGGGCAGCCCTGAGCCTGGGGATGGGGGGTCCAGCCCCTCCAGGGGCTTTGCTTTGCTCTGCTCTGCCCTGCACCCCAAGGGTATCAACCCTACACCCGAGGGCATCTGCCCTGCACCCCAAGGGCATCAACCCTGCACCCTAAACGAGTCAGCCCTGCACCCCGAGTGACTCAACCCTGCACCGTAGGATCAGTCCTACGCTTCAAGGGGCTCAGTCCTGCACCTTAAAGTGCTCCACCCTGAACTCCAGCACCCCAACCTGCTCATTCTCCTCCTGCTCTGCACCCCCAGGGGCTCAAACCCTCCACGTCAACCCACTCATTCCCCCCGGGGCCGGCCCTGCGCCCTCCTCGCCCCCTCGCTCACCATGTGCCGGTGCAGGTCGGCCGAGAGCCGGTCCGAGAGCTTCAGGACGCCGGTCAGGAGGAAGAAGAGCCCGAGCAGGACGCGGAGGGCGGTGAAGGCCGCCGCCATGGCGGGACGGGCGGGCCCGGGGGCGGAGCGGGGCGGAGCGGCCCGGCCCCGGGGATGGACCGGCCCCGGGGATGGATCGGCCCCGGGGGATGGATCGGCCCCGGGGATGGATCGGCCCCGGGGATGGATCGGCCCCGGGGATGGACCGGCCCGGGGGATGGATCGGCCCCGGGGATGGATCGGCCCCGGGGATGGATCGGCCTTGGGGGATGGACCGGCCCCGGGGATGGACCGGCCCCGGGGATGGACCGGCCTTGGGGGATGGACCGGCCCCGGGGATGGACCGGCCCCGGGGAGGGATCGGCCCTGGGAATGGACCGGTCCCGGCCCCGCACGGGAAGGGGGTGCTCAGACCTGCAGCTTCGCCCCCCGCCAGCAGCACCACCCTCCCACCCAGAACATGGACAAAAAAATGGGAAAGAGGGGAAAAAACCCCACCGGGTGTCTCCCCGGCCCTGCGTCACCGCCTGCGCCAGCACCGAGCTCCCGGGAAAGGCAGCCCGGCCCTGGCGAGGGGCCCGGGGGAGCCGCGGGCACTGACGTGGGTGGAAGTCAAGTGGAAATATTTTTTTAATGCCAGCAAGTCGTGAGAGCAGGAAGCGTTTTCCAGGCCCCGGGAAGCAGCGGAGGGGGACAGGGAGCACGGCCCGGCTGGACCTGCAGCGACCCCGCTCAGCCAGCGGCGTGCAGGGGCTGCCACAGGCCCGGTTCCACAGCGAGCAGGGGCACTGACGCTATTTTTACTCCTGGCAGCACATGATTCCCCAGCTCTGCCGGGGGAGCCGCGGCCAAGGAGCTGCGTGCCATGGTTTGGAGCTCTCCCCGCTCCAGCTGGCACGTGTGGAATGACAGACAGCGACAGGCCAGGGCAGGCTCCAGCCCGTGGTGGCTTGGAAAGCTCCTCGGGAGAAAAGGAAGAAAAAAAAAAATCAACAAGGGATTGCAGCAGCTCAGCAGACCCACAGGGCTGGGGCACCAGGGCATCAGTCAATGCTCCCAGGATACTGTTCAAGCGTACCTGCTCTCAGCCTCTTTTTATTAATTACAGGAGAGACTTAATTTGGTAGAAGCAGGTGATTGGCTTCACCAGCTAAAGGACAATAACCCAAGGGGCGGTAACAGCCACCATCAGCACCAGGGAAAAGCCATCCCCTGTCCCTCCAGGACAGACTGTGGTTTGCTCATAAAGGGAGTTGAGGTGAAGTTAGCACATGGAATGCTGGAACTGTTTCACACAGGAAGCAGCCAGTGCTGCAACAGTGGAAATGAGGACAAGGGACTGGAAAATAACAGAATCTGAAGGAAAAAAAGGCTGCACAAGCTGCAGTAGCTGTGGAAACAAAGACACCAAAAGCCCAGCCCCTGCAGCACAGCTACTGAGGAGCCACAAATCTCACCAAGGCCTTTTCAGGACCCAGACAATAGCAAAGTCACAAAATGAGAGTGGAACACCTCAGATTGCCCTTGCCCAGCACCTGTTTGCCTGAGAGGGAACAACAGCAGCTCCTACTGCAACCCCAAACCCCCACCACAAGCACCCCCAGGCACCCAGACACCTCAGGTGTTTCACACCACTTTGCCACATGAAATTCAATTTATTTTGCTCTAATCTGGCAAAGCAGGTCCCAGCCAAATGTTCCTGACTCCTCATGCCACTGCAGGAGACCCAGCTCCACTGAGCAGAGCTACCACTGGTGTATTTAATTAAATATAATTAAACAAAAGATGGTATTTAATGAGTGACAGCATGAACCACGTATGTGCACAGTACAGCTGTCAAAGCATCAAGTGAAGCAACACGAACCAGGGCAATTTGTGCTGCACGAGCTAAACCGAGCACTTAACTTTGGCATCTCAGGCTTAATTACTACAGTCATCACCAAGAAAGGTACTAAAACCCAACCAGGCACAGGTTAACATTTGGAATTCCACCATATAAAACTAGACAAGACTCCAAATGGGGGTAAGCAATGGGTGAAGCATCCAGAAATTCATGTTTCTCAGACCCAGTTGTACCACAATGGACAGACTGCTTACTCACTGAACACACCGGAATAAAACAGAAGCCATTTATAAAAATAATGAATTTTTTATTTTAAAAATTTGTATCTTCCTGGCTCCTCTTCACTGCAATCGGACTTCTCCTTCTGCAAGTACAAAGCACATTATTAGAAAGACTGAAAACACCAGCAGAAATTACATGTCATGACATGCAAACATGATCACAACAGGCCACGTGCCTGCCAAATATTATCTAGGACTTTCTCACATCAGATCTGAGATTAAATGAACAGAACTCATGTATTTCTAAGATCTGGAACAGCTTTGTGTGTTTTCCTATCCCAGGGCCAAGAGCAGCAGTGACAGACCACAAAGGATTCTACAGGAGTGCACCCAGTGAATCCCACTGGCTTCAGCTCTTACAGGCTCAGTTGTGCACCTAAGCTGTTACTCACCTGAGACTTCTCAGTGAAGGTACTCAGCATGTTGCTCCTCACACAGGATTTTAAACATCTGAAGTTCCCCCTTGTAGTTTAGTGGCAAATTAGAGGGAAAATGTCATAAATCCCAGCTCTGCAAGTTGGTTTATTTCCCTCAATTGCTATTTGCTTGTGCTCCTATACACGCTGATTTATGCTCCAGGTTATTTTTAAAGTTCAGTGTTAAAATATTTCAGCCAAGTAGCCTTTTAAACAAGGTTTAGTTGGGTGAACATCTGAGAAGCAGCTGTTCTGTTCTCCTTTTTCCTTGCTGACCATCACCCACCCCATTCTCTGTAGCCTGAGTGCAGGAATGTCATTTCTTGTTTGGGCACCTGCAGCAGTTAAGAGGACAGTGTATTTGCTGCTGCAGGGCTGAAAGGCCTCAGACAACAGTGACATTCTGGCACTACAAAAGCAAGATTCCAAAACTTTATATAAAATTGAGATTAATCACGATTTTCAGGCAAGAACTACATAACCCACCACAGGGTGATGGGCTACTGAACTCTCACAGCAGTGTAAGGACACCAACTACTTACTTGTCCACCTGTTCCTTTGGTCCCTCCACACACCACTGGGCACCGTGCTGGATGTGCTCATGCTCGGCTCCTCGACTGGAAAACATTGCCAAGTTATTATACCCACCGTGACTTGGAAATCTTTTGTACAAACCCACGTCTAGAAAGGTATTTTTAACCACTGCTGTCAAGATATGAAGCCCAGATGGAGTCAGGGTGCTCAAGCCCACGGCATGACAGCAGGCACTGAGTTCTACCCTACACATTTAAGTTATTCACTCTTTCCAACTTCTCAATATTCCCCAGTTCCAAGGTACTCAGTGACTGAACATCAAGTGTCCAGAAACCTTTATTATTTTATCCACGCAGCACAAAAGTGATACTTACTTCCCATGGATGAGCACTCCGGTGTCACTCAGCTTTCATCTTCACCTAAAGGATAACAACTGAAGTTATTAGAGTCATACACAGCAAATCTGGACCATTTCAAAACTAACTTAAAAATAAGGGTTTAAGATACATGGACTGATTAGTTATGAGGGGTAATTTATCAATTATTCCAAACCATTAAGTGGAAGAATAAGGGGCAGAAATAGGCTGGCCTTAACACTCATCAAGAGCTGAAGGAATATGCAGGTAGTTGCCTGAAGAACTGCACCTTGTCTGAGCACAAACCATACGCCCCCCTCTGAGCACAGTGAGGTTTGATTGCAGCCAGAGGTATATTATCCCTTATGTGCAGGCATTAATTTTGTCAGCTACTTCAACTATTTGACCCTATTTGTGTCCTGCAGCAACGCCCTCTATTCCCCTTCATGAGGGAGTGCAGTGGCCCTGGACTGTAGGAGCCCGTGGGTTCAACAGTCCTACAAGTGCTTCAGAAGCCAAAGGCAAACACTAAGATTGGCACTGTCACTGCTTTTGTCCTCAGCAAGGTTCTTCCCCTCTCGAGACCCCCCTTTACTACAGCTGAGGGCAGCCTGCAGTGGTGAGAGCTGGGGATGTGGTCCAAGGCTCTGTACAGCTCCAGCTGGGAAGCAGATCACACCTCGGGCACAGCGTGATCTGACCAGGCAGGGACAAGTTCAGGATTAGTGTCCAACCCACCACCTGGGTTTTCTCATGGCCCTCAGGAGCAGGAGAGTTATGCACATATTGTTTCCTCTGCCATAGCAACAAACCCCATGCATAAGGGATACTATATCTTTGTGCATCCTTTAAACACTGCAGATTCCCTACTGGCCACGCTCCTCCCAGCCCTCCCCAGTTAGCTCTTCAGTACTGGTGTTCAGAAGCAACATGTATAGAGATGGGGTATTCACAGACCACTGCGGGATTGCACAGCCAAGTCCTAACGTGTCAATCATTACCTAGCAGCAATGACACAGCTGGGAGAAGGCCAATCCTCCCGTTTTTTCCTTTGCCAGGCAGCAGCTATTTAACAGCCCCACTAGCTGGTATGGAGAGAGAAAAAAATCTGAAGCTAATTAGCTGATTCCAAACTTGCTAGCAGTGGAAGAAGCCAAGTGATTCCCCAGAGCAGTATACTTGGATGCATCCTTCCCAACATGCTCAGCCTCACTGAACATAATGGAACAGAACACTGGCCTTCCTGATCATGTCACTGCAGCTGGCAATGATTAACAGAGACATGCAACCCCATTACTGCTCGAGTCCTAAACTACTCACAGGCCTCAGTGTTTAGCTATGGGGAGAACTGCAAGCAAATCAACACTTTGTATGCTTAATGTCACAGTAAAGCCCCATCCACGCTGTGCTGTGCTCTCCTGCCAGCACCAGGTCTGCTCGGAGGGCCTAGCAGTACAATGTATTCTGACACCACACTTCTGAGCTTCAGGTAAGCTTTTGAGAAAAAGTGTTTTTCACACACAGATAAAACCAAGATGAAACACAATGCAAGCACTTGAATGGCATTCCTTGTACCCACTTGTTACAGACTGACTTAGAGCAGACATGACTATTTTAAGTTCGCTACCACACCAAGTTTCATTACTGCAGCCAGAGCTGGTCTGAGCCCACGGTTCAGTCACAAATTGCTCAC